TCTCTCTCTCTCTCTCTCTCTCTCTCTCTCTCTCTCTCTCTCTCCTAATTTAAATGGAAGCAGGAAGACCTTAAGCTAAGACATGAGGAGGAACTTCCTGAGCCAGGCCAGGTCTTCCTTTCTAGCAGTTTAATGAGATAAGACAATGGCTGCCTGGAGACGGGGGTTGGCTCTTGGTCCTTGGGGATTTCCCCATGCTTTGAGGTTTCCGGAAGTCTGGCTTCTCCTTCCCTGGGCCCTGCCATCACTAGCCTGGGTGTGTGGCTGGGCATCCCGCAGGTGGCCCTGGCCTTGGTGGCTTTGGGACAGGCTATGCTTACGCGTATTTCATCTCCTGGGTGTGTCATAGATTTCTGTGTCTCCATCTTTCAGCAGTGGTGACGTAGATGAGCAAGGCTTTGAGCCAAAACAGCCCAGACTTCCTGAGTGCTGGAGGGCTGTTTGGCTAGCTCTGGCTACCTGCTGGTCCTTTTGGAATTTCCCCTGAGGGTGGGGTCTGTGGACGGCTCCAAGGCTGCAAAGCTTTTGTCTCCTGCCTAGACCTTGACCAAAGATGGCCTGGCTGTGCTGGTTCCTTGGCCAATGTGCCTCGAGGGCCAGATGATCTAGGGTCTCCAGATGGAATGGAAATAGCAGGTGTGCCGCCCTGGGCATTCACCAGATGACAGGTGGGTGCTCTCCTATGGCAACCCCATTTTTACCTTTTGAGTCCTGGCTGGACCCGTGCTCCACAGGCTGGGGTCTGAGGGAAGATGGTAGCCTCAACTCTGGGCTGCTCTCAGAGGAGAGTGGGCACCTGTTATTTTCCCAAGTCCTGGGCAGGGGAGTGCTGGGGGCTCACACTACCTTCTTATTGTCCCCCAACCTTCTACACCTAGCTCCTTGCTTGGAGGTGGGTACAAGGAGGAGACCCTCTCGACCAGGAGGAACTGCCTTAATTCCTGGTTTACAGCCAACTCTGCAGTAGGGATGCCCTCTCTCCCAGGCTGCCAGACATCAGGTACCCTGCTACCTCATTTTCCCCATCTGGCCAGCACAAGGCCTCCACCCTGTAGGTTAGCAGCATTCTGAGCTGGAGATTTCTTCTCTCACTTACCTCAGCTGTGATAGGAGCACAGGCCCAACCCCTCTCCTCCCCTGTTGGATTTAATTCATGAACATTCCCTCCTCAAGCCCAGTGTGGTGCCAAGATTCAGGATGCCAGGATAAGAGGATCTGGGTTTCCCCTTGGCACAGCAGGGCATGAGACACATAAACAGCCAATAGGAAAGATGTGAATTCCCCAGGCCACTTGGTGTCTGATCCTTTAGTGCCCCAGAATGTCCCTGATTTATAAAAAGAAGCCGGTGTCCTTCTTTTTCCATTCCATCACCCTTTCACTTTCGTTTTTCTGGGCATCACACCAGCCCTTGTCCCCAGGCCCTGGGACAATTGCAGAACCAACCATGCTGAGAGATTTTCTCTGCCATATAGCTCTCAGCAAGTGGTATCTGAGGGCTGAGCCCAAGCTGGCCACTGAGGACAGTGGCAGGGCAGTGTGAGTATGTAGTGGTGAGTGTGTTCGTGGGAGGAGGTGAAGGGGTGTGTGTATGTGGGTGGTGCTGAAAGGGACAGTGTGCCACTGAACTTTGTGGCACCATGATTTTGCACTTCACCCAGATTGGGATTCTTGCAGCAAAATTCTGAGCCACCATTGATTGGGTAGCAGTGGCTATGTCCCAAGGGATGGGCTCTGGCCCCTGTGGAGGACTGAAGCATAAGGCAGGTAAAGGTGTGCGGTCTGGAGTTAAGGCTTGGGTTCAAATCCTGACTCTGCCTTACCTCGCTGTCACAACTTGTACAGATCACTTGCCTGTGTGCCTCAGTTTCTTTCTGTGTAAAATGGGGCTGGTGATACCCCCTACTTTCAAGGGGCTGGGAGGATTAAATGAATTCATGCAGAAAAGCACTTACAGGGGTGCCTGGCACACCGAAGGTGCTTAATAAATACTAGCTGTACATTAGGCTACTTGGCCTGAATCCAGCCAGCTTGAAAGAGGACTCACACCTTGCCTCAGAGGGAACGAATTCCCCAATCTCTCAGGAAACACTGCTCCTCATAGTAGCTCCCAGCATTTTTAAGTTTCTTAAGCTAGGACCAAGCATGAATGTGGGAGCCTCCGTGTGTGTGTGTGTGTGTGTGTGTTTGTGTATTTTGTTTTTTGTGGTACTGGGGATTGAACCTTTACATTGAGCTGCATCCACAGCCCTTTCTGTTTTTTTTTTTTTTTAATTCTGAGACAGTGTCTTGCTGACATGCTAAATTGTCCCCACTGGGCTTGAATGTGAGGTCCTCTACCTCAGTCTCTGAAATTGCAGAGATTACAGATGTGTGCCACAAACCCTGGTGAGCCAGTGATCTTGATTTAATTCTTGGCTGCTTCAAACTCTCTGTGGAACTTTAAGTCAGATTCTTGCTTTCACCAGATCTCAATTTGGACAGCTACAAGATGGGGAACTTGGAGTGGATAGACCTGGAGTTATAGCTATGGCCAACTTAGACTTGGGCTGGGATAACTGGTCCCCGTCCCTGCCCTGCCTGGCTTCTAACCTTGCTCCTTCTTTCCCCAGGTCGTGAAATGAACTCACGGGAAGCTTTCCAGGCACAGAGGAGCCAGCTGGTGGGGCTGCTCGTGTCAGGGTCCCTGGAAGGCTTTGAAAGCATCCTGGACTGGCTGCTGTCCTGGGAGGTGCTCTCCTGGGAAGAGTATGAGGGCCTCCGCCTCCTGGGCCAGCCCCTCTCCCAAGTGGCCAGGCGCCTGCTGGACACGATTTGGAACAAGGGCAGCTGGGGCTGTCAGAAATTCTTTGCGGCTGTCCAGCAGGCCCAGGCTGACAGCCAGTCCCCTGAGCAGCATGATAGCTGGGACCTCCACTCAGGCCACCCTGCCCGAGACCTGCTGAATCACCGACCAGCCATCGTCAGGAAGCTGTACAGCCACGTGGAGGATGTGCTGGCTGTGGCCAGGGAGCGGGGTTTCATTAGCCAGTATGAATGTGATGAAATCAGGTTGCCCATCTTCACGGCATCCCAGAGGGTAAGGCACTCCATCCTAGGTCAGCAGAATTCACAGGAAACGGGTAGTCACCAAGATTAATGTTTCTTGGAAAGTCAGCCCCATTGGGTAACTTGGTCTGTGGGATTTCCCCTGAAAAGTTAGTCAGGCAAGTAAAAGTTGCTCTCCATCACTGGCAGAGTACCACTTTGATGAGAGGAAGTAGGCTGTGGTGGCCAAGGGCTCAGGGTCTGGACCCAGTATGATGCAGGTTCAAGCTCAGCCCTCTATATAGAACTTCTCCATCGTTGACTTCTCCCACCTTGTTCTTATCTGTAAAATCTGACAAGAGTTGTTGGGTACTTGTTCTATAAGGTTTGGGGGGGGAACTCAATGAGTTAATTAAACCAGTGTTTAGCACCTGGGAAGCACATATTAATATCAACACTGGTTGCTATTATTTCTGTTATGAATGATGTTCTGTGCTTGCATGTGTTAATGCTATTTTAAATTAACAGCTCAACAGAACATAACACTTCATTATATTAAGTTTGCGTTTAATAATTAATATAGCACACTACATACTAGTATGGTTTAAATGCCCTCCTCGGATTTCTGGTGTGAGTTTTTGTGAGATCGTAGATGCTCAGAGTTGCGATTTAACTGTTCCTGAAAAGGCAATGATTCAACAGACGCCACAAGGACAAAAAAGTGTCTTCTGGGTATTTCTGAAACCCTTTGTTTTATTTTCCTCCAAACAACGATCCTCGGGCTTCCTGTGAGGCAGATGGAAAACAGTCATTAGCATTCTGCTTTACGGATTGGAAAATTAGAGTCCAGAGAAGTGAGTGGGTAACAGTAGAAAAGCAGAGGGCCAGTGTGGGACCTCAGGCCTCCACTGATTCATCATTCACTCATTCAGTCAGGTATTCAGCCAGAATCTATATCCCAGGCTCTGTCTTAAAGTTTGTTGTCATCAGAGTGCCTTGCATGTAGTAGATATTTGATAAATACTTGTTGATGAGTAAGATGAATTATTGAATGAATGAATAAATGGATTGTAATTACATTGGAGTGTTAGGGTGAGCTGAATTGCTAACTTCCTAGTTTTTATTTTTACTTCTTTAAAATATATAATTTTGTGATGTCCAATGAGTCTACGTTAGCCTAGGTTGAAAATGATGAAATAAACAACCATAAGGCTGACTTAAAGCTAGCTGAGGATTATTAAGTATTTACAGACCAGATGTGACGCAGTCCCCACTAACTAACACACAAAACCTATAGTTACACCCTGATCACCAGCTCCTTGCATCTTCCTAAGGGGCTGCAAGGGGATTCGGAAGACATTTTGTTTATTTTACCTGCCCTGGTGTCTCTTGTGATCTGTTGTGGGGATAGCACACCAAAGAAGTTGTAAGATTTGATCAAGTTTTTGGCAGTGTCCTCTGGTCTGAATGTCCTGAGGGGTCTGGATGCGGTAGTTGATATCCCAGAAGAGAGGGCATAAAGAGAAGTATTTAGATTGCTGAAGAAAAGCAAATGAGATAACTGATGGGTCAAAGAAGAGGTCACAGTGGAAGTCAGAAATGATGCATGATCAGACAACGAGAGTATTTTCTCCAAATCTATGGGATCCTGCTGAAGAAGAGCATGGGGGAAATGTATAACCTTCAGTGCTTAGATTAGGAAAGAAGAAAGGCTAGCTTTTAATGAGAACCCATTTTAAGGAAGAGCTAAGTAGTCAGCAAAAGCCAGCACTGAAAGTGTGCAGAAGGGACATCAGATCTGAAGTCTGTAGGAGTTGAGAAAAGGACCACACTTCTTGAGGTTTAAGTTCTCAGAATTCATCTTTCTCCGAGCTTTCTTTAGTTCTTGCATTCTTTGATCTCTGATTTGGTGGCCCTCAGTGATTCCAACTATCATGTCCCCCCCAGTCAGGCTTTTAATTTTCTTTCTTTTTTGGTATGGGGGATCGAACTCGGGTCCTTGCATTTGCAAGGCAGGCGCTGGAACCACTGCAGGCTTTTAATTTTCTTTCTAGAGGTGATTGCCATTGATAATAGGTTGGGAACTAAAGTGTTGTGGAATGGGAAGAAAAATAAATTAAAGAAGCAAATCCATAAAATGCTCTTTGCTCCTGTCCACCGAGAAAGCACCTACTGTGACCTGGCACTGTACTTGGACTTTTCCTTGAACTGCCTTGTTTAAGCTCCACTGCCTCCTTCCAAGAGTGTAGTGTGACTGCACTCTTTCTTGGCAATGGAAAAACTGCATGCATCTGGGAAGAAGCCAGCTAGAATTTGAATCCAGGTCTGCTTTTCCTCAAAGCTAGCACTTTCCTCTCTCTGCCATGAAATGTGAGTGCTCGGTGTGGTTTTGCTCAGTTGGGCCTAACAGTTGTTAGGAAACCAGAGGCTGGTAACACCAGCTGTGATACCAGCTGTCTGTGTGACTCATGCAGCTACTAATGTTGATGGGGCTGAGGTGTCAGACTGAGCTCTGAATTGCTTGCTCCCAACACAAAATTAACTTAGACATTTCTTAATTGGGAAATGTACTGTGGTTACAGAAGAGTATATAAATTTTATAGCTATAGTAATAAACATCTTCCCATCACCCAAGTTAAGAAATAGAATGCTACAAGCTCCCAGGTCTTTCTTCAATTTCAGCTGCTAGACATAACTGCTACTCTGACCTTTGTGTTAATCATTCTGTTGCTCTTCTTTATTGTTATAGTACCTTTTAAAACAAATCCCCACACAATGCATTGTTTTCTTTTGAAAAGATGAGTAGCAAGTCTAACATAGCTGTGTAAGGAAAGGACAATACCGGTCTTTGTTACTGAAGGCTTCCAGGTCAGGAAAACTTAGCAGGGTCTGGCTTCCCCTTTCCTGGCAGTCTATAAGGACCCCTTCCTAGAGGCTGACAGATAAGGTCATGAGTAGATGTGGGGAAGTATAGGGATCATTACATCTGGAGGAGCTGATGGGGCTGGTGTGTAAGAGGTGCTGGATATCCAGGAGGAACGTGATCAGAGGTCGTGGGCTGCCCTATGCATTCAGTTGCAAGGCTTACTAGAGGCTATTTTAGCTCTCAGAGGTAGATCAAGTTTAAGTGTTTCTGTGGAGTGAAATGAATGTTTTCAGCTGACTTAGGCAGCAGGAGTTGAGAGAAGGAATATGTTAGTCCGTGATGAAGACAAGTGAAATATAGATAAGAATTAGGGCCAGGCTTACCTGGATATCTGGGAGATAACTGCTTTCACCCTGCCTCAGTCTTGAGTTACTGCTCCTTTCTGTGAGAATGGGTGGCCCTCCACATGTAGTAGACAGCCATCATCCTAAGATTTCTCTTCATAGTCATCCTATGTCGGATCTCCTGCATCTTGAATACTCTGTCTTCTTCTTTCCTGGCTTACTTCTGCTTGGTAGATCATAAATCCTGTACTCAATTCTTTAGCATAAGTGAGTGAAAGTTAAAATTTCTGAGTGTGTCTAACATTTCTCTCACACTTGACAATTTGATTGGGTATAAAATTCTGTGTTGGCTGTCATTTTCCTTTAGAACTTTGATGGCAGTGCTCTACTATCTTTGAAGAGCTGCTGCTAAGAATTCTAAAACTGTCTTTGTAACTGTGGAAGCTCATCAAGTTTTTTTTTAGTCCTTGGCATTCTGAAACTTCATAATAATATGCCTTGCGTACTGAATGCCCAAGGGACCTTTTGAATCCAGAAACTCAACTTTGTGCTCTGGGAAATTTGCTTGATGACTCTACTACTGATGCTTTCTTTTGTTCTATTTTCTTTCTTTCCTTATGGAATTACAATGGCTTGATTGTTAGATTTTCTTGACCAACCCTCTCATTTTCTTTCTGTGTATTTTTTTTTTGCTCTATTTTCTATATGATAGTCTCCAATCTATATACTCTTTTAACTTTTCATTTTTGCTATCATACTTTTGCAAGAGCCACTTTTAACTGTTCCTTTGTTATAGCATCTTGCCCTTATGGATTCAAGCTCTTCATTTATTTAAAATTCATAATGATAGTTGTTTTTTTTTGTTACTTGCTTGACTGGGTTTGTTTTTTCACCTCACATAAACTCTTTATCCTACAAATTGCTTCTCTCTCCTACCACTGGTTGGGTTCTTTTGCCCATATTAGATATTTTCTTTGGACATATGGTAGTCCTTGGTCGTATTTTTCTTTATTGAAGTGGAGGACTTTAAAACTTAACTGGGCATACGGGTAGCACTTGTCTACAGTGAATTCCACCATTAGAAGCTTTGGGAAATGGCAGTATTTTTATCTGAAGGCCTTTCCTTCTAGGTAAGTCAGATTCCTCGAATAGACCACAGACTTCTTGCCCTAGGTGAAGGTCTGATTGCCAGAGGTCTGGGTGCCCAGCTGATGGAAGGCTGGGTGCTAGAGAAAGTTCAACATTCAGCATTCATTTTTCACTTTGTCATTTAAACCCTTCTCAGGGCATTGACACCCACTTCTCTAATTGTGCCTGGCATCACAATCCAGAGAGTCTCTCTTTTATTCTTTCCTGAATATAACTCTTCAGACTTTGTCATGGCAGAAAGGGACCATTGCTAGTGTACTAGCATGGGCAAGGGTACCCAGAAATCTAGTTCATAAACCATTTTGACTTCATCCTTATTTTCATTGTTTCCTTCCATCCCAGAGGTACCTGATACTGATAGTTCCAGAGCACTTGGCAGATTCTAGGGTATATGGTGTGGGTTTTTCAACTTCCCCATTTTTGGCTTAGGATTTTGCTTCTGGAATCTTCTAAATCTGTTATCATTCATTCAGCAAGTCTTCAAACCCTGCATCTGTGCCAGGCACTCTTCTAGGCATTGGGAAAAACTGGGTGGAGCAAAGACTTCAAGGAGGTGACCGCATTTGCCCTGTGCCTTGTAGGAGGAGGGCACACAGCCAGACTCAAAGCCCGGAGATAGGAGCATGCTGGGTGTTTTCAGGGAGTAGGAGGCCAGCACAGAGGGGAGTGAGCCAAGGGAAGAGGAGTAGGAAGCGAAGTCTGAGGTAGAACATGGGTGCTGAGGATACAGACAGGGATTTTTATGTGATGTGGACCTTGAAGGTTACTGTTGGATTTAGACTTTGACTCTGAGACAGTGAGGACACAGTTGAGACATTTATATCCATGTGATCTGGCTCGTTCGTAAATGATGAAACTCTGGGGTAATGGCATTGAGACTGTGAGGAGCAGGGGTCCAGATTGGGAGCCTCTGCCCTTTCCCAGGTGAGCCATGCATATGGCTGGGAGCAAGGGGTAGTACAGAAGGTGATGAGAAAGGCAGGCCTTACAGCTATGCCTCCGGTATGTAGGCACTGGCCCTGTGTGGCTGCCAAGCATTTGAAACACGGCTGAGATTCTTTCTTTCTTTTAGTAGTTGACTGAAACTACTCAAAGAGTTTGGGTAGTTTTATCTAAAGTCTTTGCACTGAATTGCATCCCCAGCTCTTTTTTATTTTTTACTTTGAGACAGGATCTTGCTGGCGTCTGACTTGCGGTCCTCCTGCCTCAGGCTTCCAGAAACCTGGGATTTCAGGCATGCCCCACCGTGACAGGCTCCACATTGAGATCCAATACATACCACATTTTGAGGACTCAATATGAAGGAGAGAATGTACCCATCTCGATACTTTTTTTATACTGATTACGTGTGGCAATATTTTTGATATCTTTGGTTAAATGGGATATATGATTAAAATTCTGTTAAAATAACTTTTAAGAAAGTAGCTGTTAGAAGGTTTGAAATTGCACTTGTGGCTGGCATTTGTGTCTTGTATTTTCTGTCTGTCGGACAGGGCTCTCCTGGCTGTATCCCTGAGGGGGAGCCAATAGTAGTTGCTGTTGGGGCTTGAAGCTTCAAGGGTGACTCCAAGACTTGGGCTGAGCAACTGGAAGGGTGGAGTTGACCTTAGCTGGAATGAGAATGGCTGCAGGATTGGCATGGATGAGGGCTTGGGAGATATTTAAGTGGAGAAGGAAAATGGGCAGTTGGGTTTGCAAGTCCCGGTCTTGGGGACAGATTGGGCCAGAGATGAAAGTGTGGGGTGAGGACCAGTGATCATGTTCAATCATTGAAGTCACGAGACTTGATAAAATTACTTTCAAATCATTCATAGCTTCTAGATTATTTTCCATATCTCTGTAGGCTTGTAGCTTTATATCTTGATTTGATCTTATTTTGTCTTATTTGGTTTAGGAATTCACTCTTTTAATGGTTTTTGGGAGGGAGCTAGATTGGATGTATATGTTCACTATCCAGTTCTGTATGTGGTTGTTTTACCAGCCTTTTACTGTGACGGGAGAGAGATGCCCCTGAAATTTCAGTACAGACTGAAGTATCCTTTATACTAAATGGTTGGACCATAAGTGTTTTTTGATTTCTGATTTGTTTCAGATTATAGAGTATTTGGATATAGAATGAGATATACCGGGGATGGGCCACACAAGTATAAACACAAAATTCATTTATGTTTTATATATTCCTTATACACAGAGCTTAAAGGTAATTCTATATAATAATTCAAATAATTTTGTACATGAAACAAAGTTTCATGGTGTGAAATTGTCAGTGTGTGGCACCATATCGGCCCTCAAAAAGTTCTGGATTTTAGAGCATCTCAGATTTCAGGTTTTCAGCTTAGGGATGCTCAACTTCTACTCACTTGAGACTGTCCTTCCTCCTCCTGCTCCACTCCATCAGCCTTTCTGAAAAAGTAATGGCTTCTGCTTCTGTCATAGGCCAGAAGGTTGCTAGATCTTGCCACAGTGAAAACAAATGGATTGGCTGCCTTCCTCCTTCAGCACCTTCAGGAATCACCAGCCCTGTTGTCCCTGCCTTTTGAGGGTATGTATTTGTTCTTCTCAGTTATTGAAAAAGGGAAAGGAAGTCAGCACAGAAAGAGTGACGCACATGTCAATTAGTGTCTCACGTATTGGCTACGTTAGTCTCCCTAAGATTCATGTTCCTCATTTTAAGGCTAACACCACCAAATGACTCAGGCCGTTGGGAAGATTTAAAAGGAAAAACATTAATATTCACTCTTAGCTTTCCTTACTTCCTGCGTAATGATAATTGGAACCACCATATAGGGAGAGCTGACTGCAGATGTTCCTTACTATCTAAACTCTCATCATCCATAACAGAAAGATACAGATACACTTTTTAAGACAGAGGCTGGTATCACTTGTTGGTGCAGATTAACTGCTCATGATCATAAAGACAACTACCAAGTGGATTTAGAGAATATGGTATCAGTGCCCATGGTCACCAACTCAGGAGTGGAGGAGGCTTGGGTGGCACAGCTGGAATGTGCCAGCCATCCTGCTGGTACTTTGAGAACAATATCTGCCCTATGCAATAACCCAAGTAGTAGCTATTGTATTCTCTGCTTTATAGATGTGGAAACTGGGCAGGAAGGTTACAGGACAAGGTAGAGGAAGATGGGTCTGGCTGTACACCTATACTGTCTTCTTGGGAGAAGACAGCATTGGTTGTAAAGACAGGATGTAAATCTGTGACTCTTCCAGCCTTGTTCCTACATCACTGGAGGGAAAGCTTTTCAATGCCGAAGCCCTGAGCTGTGTTCCTGGTGCTGACGATGGGTTTGCTGCCCTGGGTCTGCCCTCTGGCTAGTGAGGAAGCCTGTGGGTGGGTGGCTGGAGGCCTTTGCTTGGATGTAGGTATGCACCATCTCATCTAAGAACACAATACAGACATCGAGGTGCAGACAAAGCTGGCCATGCAGGCCTGGTAATACCGTTCCATGGTGTAAGGTGCTTCCAGAATGACAACAGATGTGTGTTTATTTCTCTTTCAAATGAAAGAGACTTTATTTTTGGAGAATTTTAGTATTATTAGTGATGGCTGGGAATCTGCATTAGAAGTCAGCCATTGGAAAGGAAGATATATATCTTCTGATGCCTGCTCAGTGCTCCTGATATATCGAGAGGGCAGAAACAGCAATAATAATCATCAGCTCTGTGAACAAAAGAAGCCTCAAAAGCTGGGTGTGGTGGCACATGCCTATAGTCCTAGCTTCCTGGGAGGCGGAGGCAGGAGGATTGCTTGAGCCCAGGAGCTTGGGGCCAGTCTGGGCAACATATCAAGACCCTCACTCAGAGAAGAACAAAAGGTGACCCAGACGCAGTGCACTTGGTTTGTATGACCATGCAGGTACTTCAGCGAGCTGAGCTGGGTTGGGAACACATGAGTCAGAGCTTGGTTATGGGCAGTGAGGCCGTGAGGAGGTGAACCACACTGACGTCCACCAGCCTGGGATCCTGGACCAGCACTTCCCCATTTCCTGAAAGGGGAACTACAGTGTACCCTGACACAGGAAGTGAATTAAACTCAGTGGTACCAGGGTGATACCCAACAAACAGCAGTCATCTGGATGTACCCTGGCCTTGGCCGCTTTTCCTGCAGCGGTGGTGAGGGAGCTGATGACATGAGGGCAGGATCAGAGGATCTTGTTTCTACCTAGACTGGGGGCCCTGGTGACCCAGAGGCCCTGCAGTGCTAGGCCTGGCAGATTATGCAGGTTTGTCTCCCCACCTCAGGGTCTCTGAGTGCATCACATTGGTGAGTCCCTCTGACCTTGTGACAAATATATAGTCACAGGTTCAGGGGAGATGTTGTGCCTACTGCATCCACTAATAATACAGTAAACACATTTTTGGTACTTATCAAGTGTCAGATATTCTTCTAAGCTCCATTTTATCTCAGCACCTAATGGACTGTCCATATTTGCAGAGAAGAGCACTGAAGTGCAGGCGGGTTGGGTGGCTTGCCCTGGTTAGTGGTAGGCGAGGGCGTGCTTAACTTAAGACTCTGGACTCCTGTGCCCTTGCACTCTCTGCTTCCCTTCAGAAAGAGGCAGTCAAGGGTAAATGGAATTTCTAAGGCCACCTAGCCAGTGTGGTGGGACAGATATCCGAACACAACTCTTCTGACCTTAGCCCAGCATTTCCTGGTGCCAGCAATAATCATGGCAGTAGCTGTTGTCTTTTGAGTGCTTTCTGTTGACTGTCCTTGGCCCTTAACGTGAGTTATCTCAATTGGTCCAGAGTTCTATAAGGTGGGGACTGTCATTTTTCCAACCTCACAGGGGAGGAAACTGAGATCTCAGATGGGTCCCTTTCTCTTTTCCTCCCATCACTGACATCATAAACCTCAGCCCGCTCTGTGGGTAGCTCCCATTCTGACCATGGTCCTCATTAGCCTCTCCTGTCTTGCAGCTGCTGAATGCCAAAAATACATATCCAAGCTGAGGGCAACGGTATCTGCTCAGTCTCGCTCTCTCAGTACCTACGATGGGGCAGAGACTCTCCGCCTGGAAGACATTTACACGGAGAACATCCTGGAGCTCCGAATGGAGGTGGGCATGGTTGGTGCCCGGAAGAAGAGCCCTGCCACCCTGGGCCTGGAGGAGCTCTTTAGCACCCAAGGCCACCTCAATGAAGATGCTGACACCGTGCTGGTGGTGGGTGAGGCAGGCAGCGGCAAGAGCACACTCCTGCAGCGGCTGCACTTGCTGTGGGCTACTGGGCAGGACTTTCAGGAATTCCTCTTTGTCTTCCCGTTCAGCTGCCGGCAGCTGCAGTGTGTGGCCAAACCGCTGTCTGTAAGGACACTGCTCTTTGAGCATTGCTGTTGGCCTGATGTCGGTCAACAGGTTGTCTTCGAGTTCCTCCTTGACCACCCTGACCGTGTCCTGCTGACCTTTGATGGCTTTGATGAGTTCAGGTTCAAGTTCACGGACCAAGAGCGTCACTGTTCTCCAACTGACCCTACATCAGTCCAGACTCTGCTTTTCAACCTTCTTCAGGGCAACTTACTGAAGAATGCCCGAAAGGTGTTAACCAGCCGTCCGGATGCTGTGTCCGCCTGTCTCAGGAAGTACGTGCGCACAGAGTGTCACCTCCGGGGCTTCTCAGAGGAGGGCATTGAGCTGTACCTGAGGAAGTGCCATCAGGACCCCGATGTAGCAGACCACCTCATCCAGCTGCTCCGAGCGACCTCTGTCCTGCATGGTTTGTGCCACCTTCCTGTCTTCTCTTGGATGGTGTCCAAATGCCACCAGGAACTATTGCTGCAGAATGAGGGGTCTCCCAAAACCACCACGGATATGTATCTCCTGATCCTGCAGCATTTTCTGCTGCATGCCTCCCCTCCAGATGCCATCTCCCATGGCCTGGGACCTGGCCTCCTTCAGGGCAAGCTGCCCTCACTCCTGCACCTCGGCCACCTGGCCTTCTGGGGCTTGGGCAGTTGCTGCTATGTGTTCTCAGCCCAGCAGCTCCAGATGGCACAGGTTGATGCTGAGGACATTTCTCTTGGCTTCCTGGTGCGTGCCCAAGGTGTGGTGCCAGGGAGTGCGGCGACCCTGGAGTTCTTGCACATTACTTTTCAGTGCTTTTTTGCTGCGTTCTACCTCGTGCTCTGCGCTGATGTGCCAACAGCCTCGCTCAGACACCTCTTCAAGTGTCACAGGGCAAGCAGCTCCCAGCTGACCAGGCTGCTACCCGCACTGTGTGTCCAGAGCCCCAGGACCAAAGAGGGCAGTGTGACGGCTTTGCTCCAGAAGGCTGAGCCACACAACCTTCAGATCACTGCAGCCTTCCTAGCAGGGCTGTTGTCCCGGGAGCACCTGGACCTGCTAGCTGAGTGCCAGGTGTCCGAGAAGGCCCTGCTCCGGCGCCAGACCTGTGCCCGCTGGTGTCTGGCCCGCAGCCTCCGCAAGCACTTCCATTGCATCCCTCCGGCCGTGCCAGGTGAGGCCAAGAGCATGCATGCCATGCCCGGCTTCGTTTGGCTCATCCGGAGCCTGTATGAAATGCAGGAGGAGCGGCTGGCTCGGGAGGCCGTGCGGGGGCTGGATGTCGAGCACCTCAAATTGACGTTTTGCGGCGTGGGCCCTGCTGAGTGTGCTGCCCTGGCTTTTGTGCTACAGCACGTCCAGCGGCCTCTGGCCCTGCAGCTGGACTACAACTCTGTGGGGGACATAGGCGTGGAGCAGCTGCGGCCCTGCCTTGGAGTCTGCAAGGCTCTTTAGTGAGTGTTGCTGGGCATTCCTGGTTGGGCATGGAGTGATGCCACCACCGAGGTTAGGTGTGGGAACACCTGGTTGAGATCCGGAAGTTTGGGTCTGTACAATACAGGCCAGACTCATTCCAAGTTTGGGGCTTTAGTTTGGACAAATGATAAGGAGAGCCCCATTTTGCCGAATGTCTTGTGTGGCAGGCTCTGTGCTACACTTTCTGGAATGACCTCATCTCTGGGCTGTCATCAGGGACACTTATCCCCATTCTCCTTGATTTGAGGCTCAGTAACTTGTCTGGGGTCACACAGGGAATGGTGAGCTAGATTTCTCAGATTATCTCTTTCTGGTCACAAATTTCCTGCTCCCCAGGAGTTGACTGTGGTTACCCTGCCAAGGCTCCAGGGAAACCCTGAAGTCAGGTGCAGTTCTGTGTAAAGTTTGTCTGTATTAGGATACTTCAAATCAGAGATGACTTGTGCCCTATAAGAGACTTTAAAATCCCAACAAGGTGGGCATCTCAGGACCTAAGAGAGAAAGCGGTTGCAGAGCGTCACTTACCTTTTCATTCCTTGGGCAGTGTGGTATCAAGGAGGACTGGGTATTATTACCCATGCTGCTCCTCCCTGCTTGGTGCGGATGTGTAATTCTACTCTTTGTGCCACTGGTTGTGTTTTCCAAGGCTTGAGGCAGGTGAGGGCAGAGGGCATGCTTGGGCCTGGTGACCAGCACACCACCAGCTTTCCACCTTCCTTGCTGGCCTTGGCCCTATGAGAAAGCAGAAGTTGTACATTAAAGTTAATTTGTTCACATTCTCCTGGGGCTTTGGGGCTACTTCCAGATGACCTTAATTAACCCCAATCAAAGGACAGGAATGCATTATGATGTTTATCTTCTCTGAGGCCAAGCAGTGACTTGCTAACCCTTACACAGGGATTGAGGTCATAAGTTTATAACATAAGATCAACTACGTATACTTCACACATGATGTATATATTATGTAAAGGGTCTTGGAGGGATCAAATGTCACACTTATATTGGGTGATTCAGTATAAGAGGACTGGCTATAGAGCTGAGGAGAAGGGTTAGGAAGAGCAAAGAGCAGGGGTCCTGGGTCTAGCAGATCAATGGGCATAAGAGGCAGGGAGGGGGAAGGGAGTGCTTAGTCACTGAGAGGAAGGTACAGTGAGGGCTGTCTGAGCTTCAGCAACCTGGGAGCTGGGGGAAATAAAGCATTGCCCCCCTCCACTCCCAACGCTACTTCTTGCCAGTGCCTTCCACTGGCTGACCCCAAAGGGGAGGCAGAGCCATCTGCCTATTGATGTTGTCCACAGGTATCCACCTCCCAGGCTCAAGATCTTGGGAGAGGAGGGGGAGAGTGGATCTGCCCAGGTGAATGGAATGCAGCCAGCACAGTGGTCTGCTTCCTTTGGAGGGAAATAGCTTGGTATTTTGACTGGAGAATTTGGAGACCTTTCTGTTGAAGCTGTTCTCCTGATAGGAATTGGAATGTGCATTTTTCTGGATAATGGGACCATAGTTTTTACCAGGTTCTCAAAAGGGTCCTTGAATCTCAAGAGGCCAGGTACCACTCACCTGGATGGTGCTAAGAGATCAGGCCATCATGAGAATTCTTCAGTGGATTTTTTTTTTCAACTAGGAATGTTCATTTGACAACACCACCCCTGGTGGTATGCAGGAGAGTAGGGGAGACTGTGGATCTGTCTTTACTCTCAGTGAAAGGTGAGCCTGACCTGGATCTAGCTTGTGATGCTCAGATTGTTGTATACAAAGATGCTTGTTGAAACACAGACTCCTGGGTCTTCCCCCAGTCAATTCCCTTTCACTGGGTTTGAGCTGGGGTCCCCAGGATCTGTATATTTAGTAAACTTCACTGGTGGTTCTAATATGGTTGGTCTCACACTGTGGGAACTACTGGTATGCAGAAATTAGCTTGATTTTCCATTAGCAGTTGATGTGGTTTGGGTAAGTGTGCCTTAGAGGTTCTGTGTTAAAAGCTTGGTCCCTAGGGTAGCATAATGGGGAGGTGGTGGAACCTTTTATAGGGAGGGCCTTGTGGGAGGTCTAGGATATTGGAGGCATGTTCTTGAAGGGGATCATGTGACCCTGGCCCCTCTTTCTTTCTCTTTGCGCCCTGGTTCATGATGTGGGTAGCTTTGCTCCTCCACACACTCCTGCCATGGTGTGCTACCTCATCACAAGCCCAAAAGCCATTGGGGCCCATAGATAATGGATTGGAGCTTCCAAAAGTGTGTGCCAAAATAACCTTTTCTCTTTATAAATTAATTACCGTAGGTATTTTGTTATAGTGATGGAAAGCTAACACAGCAGTTAAAGTCCTTGATCAAGTGACTGTGAGGTTGCTGTGTGGGTATTCTGTGTGTGTGTGTGTGTGTGTCTGTCTGTCTGTCTGTGTTTGTGTCTGTGTGTGTTCATAGAGGAAGTGAAGGGGAGAGAAGGGAGGAGCAGGGACTGGCAGTTCTCTCACAGTGCCAGGCAGTGTCTCTCCCACTCAGGTTTCCATGCCAACAGAACCCGCAGCCTCTAGGAAACCACATGTGCTAAGTACCCTTATGCAGGTTTCTTTAGACCCTGGCTTCCTCTGACTTGAGGGTGATGGAGTTCTGGCTGTGATCCTCGCGAGTGAGAGGACACATGAGTGAGCAGGACACTGGTGTGTAGAATCAGAACAAAATCTTCATGAAATGACTTTCCCTTGTTAATTCTGATACACTCCACTCTCTTCTGTCTATTCTATTTCAGATTTTAAAATGTTGCTTAGGACCTTCAAGATTGTTATCCTGGCCTACTCATGGGTCACAGGCTCTGAGAACTGGGGAAAGCCACAAAGGGGAGACTTATGGCAGTTAGGTGTGAGATTTGGAGCCAGACGTGTGGTTCAGTCTTAGCAGTTGCTTCCCTTGTCTGTGCCTCCGTTTTTCTTTCCAGTGGACTTAATTGTAGCATCTATTTTGTGGGCTGTGGTAAGGATTAACTGCCAGGTGCACAGAACGTCCCATACATGCTAGTGCTCATGATCGCAGGTGATTCTTACTCTGTGCTAGGTGATAGCAGGGGTTTATGTGCACAGCATGGTGAGGGTGGCAGTGCCATCATTCCCTTCTTGTAGATGAAAGGACCAACAGATGGCTGGTGTGTGGCTGATGGACTCCAGTGCCTAGGCGGATAATCATTTAGTCAGGGCCTCCCAAGTTTGTCTGAAGAAGAACCATGTGCACCACAGTTGCTAAAGTAGATAGACCCCTGAGTCCTGTATAGACTCACAGGCTCCGGCATAGGGGCCTGAACTTCTGCATTTTACAGAACTTTTCAGATGACCTCACGATCAGGTGAGTTTGGGAGATGATGCCCCAAGATGCTTCTGGCTCATCTTTCCCACAGATCAACTCCTTTCCACCTTGGTGTTGCAGTGAGGCTGCTGTGATGATTGTTGTCCCTTTGTAGAGACAGAAACTGGGCCTCAAAGTATATCTGTTACTTTTTGGAGGATTGAGATATTCTTTAGTAGGGACTCTGGGCCTCCACTTCTTGACTCTCCTCATCATAGCTCCCTGTCCAGAGATGCTGGACATCTCCCCTTCTCTGGGTGTTCTGTCCTTCTGGTGATTCCCAGAACCATAGATGCTGGCACTCTGGGAATGAATGAGTCTTTTCATATACCCCCCCCACTTTTATCAACTCTATGTTTGAATTAATTTATTTGGTCTTTTTTTTTTTTTTTTTTTTTTTTTTTATTTTTTTTTTTTTTTTTTAGTTTGCGTGATAACAATATCTCAGACCGCGGTATCTGCAAGCTCATTGAACATGCTCTGCACTATGGGCAGCTGCAGAAACTGGCGTGAGTCAGGCTGGGCTGTGGACACTGGGACTTTGTACCCTAGTCTTGCTCCAGGTCGAGCTTCCTGGGCAGCTATGAGTGAGAGATGGGTCAGGGCAGGGGAGTTGCATGACTGGAGGGTACAGGGTGACCCCTGCCTGGAGGGAATGGGCAAGCCTGGATTTGAGGATTCACTGGCCATGCACCTTGTCCCCATGTGTCCTCTCTCTCACAACACAACAGTCTGTTCAACAACAAATTGACTGACGGCTGCACACACTCCATGGCCAAGCTCCTTGAGTGCAAGCAGAACTTCTTGGCGTTGAGGTGAGCCCTGGTTTTCCTTGTGCCCTGGAAACTAATTTTCCCAAAGCCGAATCAGTGTAGTCCTGTTTCTACCCTGGCCTGGCCCCTAGTGAGCTTGTGACCTCTGTCATAGGACACCCAGAGCTGGGTTTCTCCAGTGCTGTGGCCTCTTCTGGGCCTGCGCTGCTGGGGGCTTCCTGCCCTCTGGACCTTTAACCCTCAGGGTGAACAAGTTTCCAGGCTCTTTGCTTTCCCTGTGTCTCTACGTGTCACAAGTTCTCTGGCAGTACTGGTTCTGTGGTACACATTGAGTGCATTGGGAGATGCACACACAGTCACTTGTCACCACAGTGGGCAGCCATTGACCAAAATGCTCCCAGAGGCTTTTCACCATTTGGAGAAGGCGAGGTGTGCCTCTATCCAGGAGGCCTGCTGTTCTGCTGCTGGAGAGTCTCTCTCCTATGAGATGCCATTGAAATGCCCCTCCAGTTGGCCCCTGGCTTGGCTTGGCCTTCTCTTTAGCCTGGTCTTGTCTCCTTAATGAATTGCGGCCAAAAATTCTTTTCACTTGCCGGGATGGATGTGGGGATGGGAGCTGCCATTTAATAACTTGGCCATGAAGCTTAGTCTCTGCCAGGGCTGCCTAGGCCAGGCCATAGCCACTGGGGAGAATTTGTGCAAGATTCTGTTCTGCTATTGTCACCACCCACCCCATCCACCCAGGGAGGAGTGTGGGTGGCACAGGATTCTGGGATCTGTGGCCAGTACACTGTCATCATTTGAAAGCAGGGGCTCTGGAACTAGTCAGCCCATGATGTGTGAATCTAGGAACCCCAAGATTTGAAACCTCAACGGTTGTGTGACCTTGGGTCAGTTTTGTGTCTCTGTGTCTCTCTTTCCCCTCCTGTAAAATGAGAGTAATGGTTATAGCCATCTCAGAGGTGGTTTGCTGGGGAAGTGAGTTAATATATGTAAAGCACTGGTGCAGTACAGTAAGTGCTTTATATAGCAAGCTCAATGAAAGCTCGTGGGTAAATTATGTAAGCTCACAGATTGTCTATCCTTATGCTAAAGCCTCCAAGAAGGGATTAGATGTGCAACAGATTTATTGGAGAAAATGCCTCCAAGTTTGAATGAAGAGAGAGCTTGAGGAGGCTGGGACATGTGACCCTGCCTGAAAGAGAGAGGGAGAGAAGGAAGAAAGGAAGGAAGCTTGGGAGGCAGGTGAATGTCTGTGGAACTCTGGGGCACCCTCAGCCCAGTCTACCTTGCAGGGGGGTCTCCCCAGTTTCATTCACTAGCTAGGAGCAGCCTGTGAGAAGCTGGTTGTGGGGTTGGACTTCAGAGCACAGCAGCCTGAAGGAATAACTCAGAGAGCTGAGGTTGGAGGTCTGAGAAACACAATCTCATGGCACCAACCCCTTCTCTAAGGGGATAATAACACCTGCCTCGTAAGGTTGTCATGAGCCAGAGTGGCCTGGAGCTCTTTGACAGATGAAAACACACATGTTTATTCCAGGAAGCTGGGAGTTGTGGATGAGAGTTCCAGGAGCTTCTTGGACTCTCCCAGAGGGGTCTAGATTTGGCTGCAGCTGGAGCCTTCCTTGCTGGGACCCCTTGTTCCCTTTCTCCTGCAGCAGCCCTCTTAAGGTTGGCAGGGTGCTCCCAGGAGGATAGCTCAGGACCCTTGTTCAGCCAACTGGCCTGGTCCTGCACAACCACCTCAGACTGAACAGGTAGATGCTTGGTGCAGTAGGTAGATGCTCCCTATGGCTACAGAGGATCTGGATTTGGGAAATCCACAGGGGCACCTTTCCTCTGGACTGAGGCTGGCTGAGACCAAGAGAGAAGGTTCGTGACAGTGGAGAAACCACCTTCCTGATCCCCTGGGGAAAACACCTTTCAGGAAACTGCCTGCTGTGCTTCCTGCCCAAACCTGTCACACTGCTTTGCAAAACACATGTTCCTGTTCCCTCTTGCTAGAGAACAAAGTCGAGGTTGTTGCAGCTACTGAGCAAGGTCAGCTCAGCAGCCCTGCTGGCTGCACCTGCGTGGGACAGGCCTGCAGAGCCAGAGAGAGAAGGGGCTCTCCCTTCCCAGGGCACTGAGAGGCCTGTCCCCTGCCCTCAGCTGTGCTTTCAGCCTCCTCTGTCCTCCCTTCCAGGCTTGGGAACAACCACATCACTGCCGCAGGTGCACAGGTGCTTGCCCAGGGCCTGCGAAGCAATGCTTCCCTGCAGTTCTTGGGGTAGGTTGGATTCTGGGCCAAGGGTCTATGTGGAGTTCAGGGGCTTTCAGGAAGTTAAGGGCAGGTGAAACTCTAGCCAGGGAGCCCAGAGGCAGCCCAGGATTCAGGGAGGAGGGAGGAAGATGTTCTGGGAGAGTGGTAGCCCTAGGTTGCCTCTGCCTTGGCTTCTCCATCTGATAAACAGGAAGTTACTGGCATCAGGTGGGGGCAGGGCAGGGCCCACGATGGGGACAGAAAGTCTGTAGGTCCTTGAGGGTGCTCAGGACTGGGCTGTGGCTGCACCGTGGAAGCATTTGTGTTTCAAGAGAACACCATCGCCCAGGCTCTGTGCCAGAAGATGAAATGAAAATATCGAAGGGCTGTGTATCCAGGGTGAGGACCCCTGGCCCAGGAGAGGATGTGGAGAAGGAGGAGAAGAGACCCAATAGGGGAGGTCCTTAGGGAGGGACTCATGTCTGATACAATGGGCCGGAGCAGGGCTTCCTCTGGTCTTTGGGCAGAGCAGCTTCTTACAAGGCTGCAGCCAAATCATCCCCAGAAGCTTCTGTCTTTTTTGGACTGGGGTCCATTTGACAAAAACTGAGGTCACAAAATCCACGGAGAGAAAAATCTTAGGGCCCCCAGTGTTCCACCCATTTCAAGGACAGGCGAGTAACTCATAAGCTGAGCCATGCATGTGGTGCTCCAGAAACCAGCACCTCCTTCCCGCTGTGTCACCAGCAACTGAATCTAGAGCAAAGGAGGCCCCAGCCCTACTGAGCTGTTTTCTTCTTGAGGCTTCATCTACCACATCTAGGGCATTTCCTTCTCTCTCAACATGTATTTATTAAGGACCTGTTTGGGGTTTACTGTGCTAAAACCCCATCCCCACACACTATAATGTATAAACTATTCTGCAACTCACATTTAAAAAATTTTGCTTTGTTATGTATTGTGATCTTTTCAGATTATCATGGCCTCATTCTTTAAAAGAAGAGCTGCATAGTATTTGGTTGCCTATTGATGAGCACTTGGGTTGTTTCCAGGTTTTTAACCATCAAAGTGTCCTGTCCCCAAGGCATAGAGCCAGTGTTCACTAAATTCTCACCTAGTGAGTGGAAGCACAGTGAGCACCCTCGTGCAGCTGCCTGTGCTCACTCTTGCATGTGCATAGTCAGGACAAGTCCCCAGAATGCATGATGGCTGTATCTAGGTGCCTTCTGCAAAAGGACGTTTTTCCAAAGTATGCCGAGTCAGAGGCAGATGCCCCAAAAGGTGAAGGAGTTGGACACCAAGGAGTTGAGGGATTACAAGGAACAAGAGTTCAGGAGCTGGCTAGTGGAAGAAGAGTTAGACTTGTGCCCTGGTGGTGCCCCAGGCTAATTACAGACTTGTGAGTGTCAACTGCCAGAAGCAAATCTGAACGAAATATTAGGAAACATGTCACAACCATGTGGATTATAGTTCAGAGCCAGTTCCCCATCCCTGAGGATATGAGGTAGTTGGGCCATATTATTTTTAAATTCTGACTTGAAGTCCCTGAAATGTCTGAGTGAAATTTGGCCATCCCACCACAAAGATGGCAGCAGGTCCACTTTGCTGGGACTAAAGTGTCCCCATGAGACCTCTCCAAAACTGTGTGGCTCTACCCCTCTTGTTGAGTTGGAAAGAGCAGGAGACTTAGCATGTGTCTAGAGCATGCAGCAGGTCCTCACTCACACTCACACTCTCTGTGGACTCTGTTGGCTTTTTCAGGTTCTGGGGCAACACCGTGGGTGACAAGGGTGCCCAGGCCCTGGCTGAAGCCTTGGGCGATCACCAGAGCTTGAGGTGGCTCAGGTAAGCTGCAAGGTCTGACCTGTGTTTGTCATAGTGGGCAAAGGGGGGGGTTGGGTCAGTTTTGAGGATCGCTGAATTTCATTTCATCTCCTCTGTAGTGGGCAGCAGGGTGAGAGAGAAAGACCATTGGATTTGGAGGCAGGCTGTTTGAGGCTTTCTAGGTGACTTTGGAAATGACCCCTCTTGGGGTCTGGATCTCCAGTGGAGTTAGTTGTTTTAAAGACAATTCCAACCCATTGATGGTGGTGTCTGCTCAGTGCACTCTGCTGGGAAGGATTCTAGGCTGCTCCTGGGCTTAAGTACCTGTAATCAATTAGCAGTTCCTATGGAGCACTTGGAGAGTAGGGCTCCATGTGCCAGACAGTTTGCCTTTCACTTGTTAGCTCGTCTCTGAGGCTCTGCCCTGCTCTGTCATGTTTTTATTGCATGCTTATGTCCAGCCTGGTGGGAAACAACATTGGCAGCATGGGTGCCCGAGCCTTAGCACAGATGTTGGAAAAGAACATGGCACTTGAAGAACTCTGGTGAGTATGGGGGATTCCCTGTCTTTCTTGATAACCTGGCCTCATGCAGGGAGCAGCTCTGTGGATAAGACAAAGGTTGATGGCTGAGTGATTGATTGTAGTTATCTTTTTATGTACCGAGTGGCGTGAAGCTTATAGAGCCATGTGTATAGCTGCTAATTCTTTGAATTCAGTTATATTTTTGTTGGTTTGCTGGTTTATTTGCTAACTGCACATGGCATAATGGTAAAGGCGCAGAATCTAGAATCAAGCAGGCTGTGATCTTGGGCAAATTAAACAACAATCTCTGAATCTCAAGTTTCTCACCTGAAAAATTAGGGTAAGAATTCTTCCAAGTGTAAAAAGATGTTTGTAAGAACATCTGCCAGTGAACAGCTTAATATCGTGCCTGGCATGTGTGTAAGCACACTACAAATGTTAAATCAAAACAGTGGTAAAGTTACTGCTACTGATGCTTCTGCTGCTCTGACTACAGCAACTACTGGTACTGTGATTACTACTAATAGTAAGGCTTTGTTATTTTAAAGTGAATCAGAGATTCTAAGAACACTGAGCATTAAAAGCAGGGCTCATCTTGCAAGGTGATGGTGCTGGGAGTATTTGAAAGATGAACCAGGAATTATGTTTATACTGTTGACCTGAAGAGATTCCTAGTTTTCCACCCTTTAGGTGCTGTAACAGAATCTTCAACTCCAGGGACCTCTTTGTGGTTTCAGTTTTACCAGGGAGATAAAATGTTGAATGTTTATTTTTCCAGGAAGGAGAAAAGTACTGAAACATAGAAGCATCACCACGAAATGGATTTGTGAATGGGCCTTGGCTATTGGCTGGGTTTACTAGCTCTGCTAAAGTACCACTGATTATGTCCTGATTAGAATTTGCCACTTGTTATTTCTTGGTAGAGGAGCAGCTTAGTGTGAGTATATCAGTTATAATCACTATTGAAAAGAACAACTTGAGACAAGTTAACTTTAGTCAAGTTTATTTGAGTAAAGACTGATTCATGGATCAGGTAGCACTCAGAACCTGGAGAGGTTCAGAGAGTTCCACCCAGCAACATGGGCATTTACAAACAGAAAATGTTTGGTTGATTTCAGCTCTGCATTTGCCTTATTTGGGCATGGTGTGATGAATTGGCAGCCTGTGATTGGCTGAAGCTTGGCTGCTACGATTGGCTGAGACTCAGCTATATGCTACAAGAATGTACACTTATTAAGTTTCAGTTTGTTTACATTCTAAGTTTGGTTGCAATTTGTTTCATAAGAACTCAGAATATGGAGGTAACTTCAGGCCAAATTAAGTTTAACACTCTATTAGACTGCCCGTGATAGAAAACCTCCACCTACAGAAGCTCAAATCATTGAAAGGTTTATTTTTTCACATATAGGCAGTTTGGAGGCTGGTAGTATAGGGCTATCATTGTGGCTACAAAGGGCTAACAGGGGCCTCAACTCTATTAATGAAAAAGTAGTAGGGGTTGAACCCAGGGCCCATGAACTGAGCTATATCCCCAGCCCTTTCTTTATCTTTAAAATTCTGACACATGGTTTCCCTAAGTCAATAAGTTCCCAGGCTAGGCTCAAACTCACTATCTTCCTGCCTCAGCCTTCCACAGTGCTGGGGTTACAGGGGTATGGCACCATGCTCAGCTTCGATTCTGTGTCTTTTTCTGTTCCATCACCCTTTGACTTTGTCCTCATGGTTGGCTGCCTCATCATCACAAGATGGCTGCTCCACCTGCAGCAATTACTTCTGTATCCCAGGATTTAGTGTGTATACCTGAGAAGGGCATAAGGCATGGGCCAGTAGGGTCTCTCTCCTTGAAAAGCATTCCTGGAACAACTTCCCCCAGGTATCAATGGCCCAGTGTAGTCACTTGGCCAACTCTGGCTGCAATGGAGAGTTGGAAATGTGTTTTTTTTTTCCCCCGCCAAGAAATAATTGCTCCAAATGAAATGATATTTCCATTAATAAGAAAGAAATGGAACATGGATAGGGGATATCTGGGTCATAAAAATAAACTTAATGTAGAAGAGCCTGAGGGTGAATTCTTTTACACAGGTGTCCCTGAAATTGAAAATCCTGCCCTTACCTTAACCATAAGTTTGGATTTTTCAGATGTTTGATTTTCTAAATGAAAGGTGTGGGGAACACATGAGTCAATCTTTATTGACATCATCTTCCGTACTAAATCTTCCGGTATCCACTGAATTATCCCTTTGTTCTCACCAGCCTGGAGGAAAACCACCTCTGCGATGAAGGTGTGTGTTCTCTCGCAGAAGGACTGAAGAGAAATTCAAGTTTGAAAGTGCTGAAGTAAGGAACCTGTAAGCAGGAGTCTGGAGATAATGGGATGGGGTTTCTGGTCCAAGCGGGACCTGGGCAGCTTCCCAGCCCCAGGCACTCATGTGCAGCACCTGGTGGGAAACAGCTTCTCTTGGTCTGGGTAGAGGCAGATTGCAGAGCAGGCTGTGTACCTGGGAGGTGGGCCCAGGAAGCCTGCAGGAGAGTAGTGAAGCGGGTGGGGAAGGGATGCATCCAGCAAAGGGTGGTTATTAGCTCAGCTGTCACTGAAGGAAATCCAGTACTGCTGGGGGCCTCATGGAGCCAGGGTAGAACACGCCTGGATCGCCCATCCAGCCATCGGGTG